GGGGCAAGAATGTCCAAGCTCACGCGCAACGATGATCTTGACTGCAACCACATCCGGACCGACCTGATGCTCATACGAGTGGTGGGGGCTCCAAAAGACTGTCTTTCCATCTGTGAACACTCCACGCCGATTGCAGCTTTGCCCTTCGACCCGGAGGAGTGGGTATGGCCTGGGGAGAAACCGATGCATGTCTCGACTATTCTGTAAGAGGTGAATACAGAGCCTCACACCCATAAATACCCACCAACCGAATCATAGCTGACCGATGGGCCCAGGAATCACCTAGGAACTCGAACCTGTTGCACAACCTACCCTGGTCGACATACGCCAAGATTATGCCCACAAACCTCTGGTCGCTGCAGTGGCAAATCCTACACCAATGTCTCCCCACACCTGACTGGTTGGTGTCAAGAACAGACTTGGAACAGAAAGGTCAAGTGTCCCCCATTTACTCTTACTGAGGGAGAGTGTCCCCTCCTGCCAGAGCAACGCTCAAACACTGTCTCCTAGCGTGCCCGATGGTTTCCCAGCTGTGGCGCTGGTGGGACGCAGCCTTTCACTCGCTAACGACATTCCACAATCCATGGGATCTGGGACTCCTTTTGCTAGGTAAGAATCAACACAAGCTAGCCCACTTGTCTCCCTTCGCAGCCAACCTGTTCTCAGACACAAGGCTGCACATCCTGATGTTGACCTGGCGTGCAAGGTGCTTCTTTGAAAGGAAAGATCATCAGTTCATCTTGCAGCAAGCCCAACACGCAATAGTGGAGGCGATCAGATCCCGCACCTGGGAAGCATGGAAAAAGATGACAAACGAATCCTGCAATGAGAACGAACCTCAGGCCAAACAGGCCATCCACGACTCCTACATTCAAATATGGCAGGATCCCCATAGGAAGTTCAGTGAACTGGATGCGAGACTCGATATCTTGTGGAGACCGTGGAGGAACTCAGAGAGCACGTGGCAACATAAGCCGCTTACTGAATATCAGATCCCGTACCTTCCAACCGACTTTGTCCTAGTAGCAACCTCCCCCTGTGACTTATTGACTCATCCTTTGCACGTCCAACCTCCCAGCCCTGCGCCTGTCCCATAGATCCTCGCACCACCGCGCTCCCAATCCGCAGGCAGGAGGCAGAAGTATATGCAGTGAGCAACGACGTGCTACGGGCGGTAGAAACGAAAGTGGGAGAAGCTACATGCATGGGGACTGCGGACCCCAGTCTACAACAGCCAAAGATGTCATCGGAGGGCAGCCACAGACCATATAAAAGCTGCAATCGATGCACACATACAACCATGCATACTCAAAGTCATGACAGAACACTCTGGAGACACAGACGACTCAGAGCTTAAACCACCAGTACTTGGCTCAGCTATCGATGACGAGCCTGAATATGCCCTGCGCGCCGTTTCACGCCGACCCGCCAACGAAACAAAAAAATATTGTTTTGGCTGGCGGCGTCAGCCTTTCAGGTTCGGTACCGCGGGCCTCCGAAACTTGTGGGCTGTTAACGGCAACGCCCCGCGGCCGACATATGGGCCAAGTACCGGTGGTTTAAGGGTTCTACCCCTACAGGTTAATAGGTTCACAAGCTAGAGGGCAATGTCTCAGAGCCACTGCAATAGAGGAGGAGGTGGGATAAGAGTGAGCAGGGGTGGTAAGCGCAGTACACTGCAAAAGGGCTGATGTCTCAGTGTCACTGCAGTAGAGTCAATATAGGAGGCGATGAGATAAGAGCGAGCAGGGGTAGTAAGTGTAGTACAAGTCGCTACAAAAGGGGTGATGTCTCAGTGTCACTGCAGTAGAGTCTGTATGAGCACAGGGGTCTGTGGTCTGGTACACAAGGGTTTAGGGCATGGGATTTCTAAAAGACGAGGACGGGTATTCGCACCCTCAACGCTCCAAGAATGAGCAGGGGCGGTATGTGCAGGTATGTGCAGTCAAGTCGCTGCAGTCACAGTCTGGAAAATGCGAGGGTTCTGCGCAGGCAATCAAGGGCTTTGTTACGATCCTTTCAAAGTTTACATTCATCAGAAAGTACAATGTCGTCAATGCCGTCCAATTGCAAAACGAAATGAATGAACTTGAGAGGAGAGAGAGGGAAAGAAGAAGAAGAAGAAGTGAGAAAGAAGAAGAAGATGATGTACTCCAGCATAGGCCAATGACAAGGCTCTTCTTCTTTGCCAACCAATCTCCTCCTCCTTATCTCCTCCCCTCTTATTCAAACAAGAAATAACAATAATAATGTTGAATGGCTGAACCAGAATCGATGTCCGAATCCCACTTCTACTGCAGGCACAACATGAGGTCCACCATAGCCATGCTCACCCTTCTCCTTCCTCGTCATTGCAGGTCGAGGCTATGGCAGACTACTGAGGCTTCAGCCTCCTGTCCAAAGGACAACCCAAAGCAGCTATGTCGCTGCCGCTTCAAGCAGCTATGCCGCTGCTCACTGAACCGCAATGCCTGACTCTACCCCGAGCTTCCTTGATGCGGCACTACCCCAACGGGGGCCTTCCAGATGCAGCGCCTAACAAGGTGATGAAGATGGTGGCCACCATAGCCAGGTAGGTACCTCGCCACTCTCCCCCTTGGTCCCCTTCTCCCTCCTCCTCCTACCGGCCGAGCTCCACCATAGCCAAGGGAGAAACTCTTGGCTTCTTCCTCCCAGCAGCGCTCTTCCAGCCAGCGCTCCAACAGCGTGACACCCAGCTCGCACACTGAAGAATGAGGCCGAGCTCTTGCCTCGGCCTCCTGATATAGCGGCCTGCTTGCCTCCTGGGCGGTGACTTCCAGGCCGCTCGGCCTCCCAAGCAACTGGTACCTCCTCCCTTTCGGAGGGAAACATCATTGCAGACTCTGATATTGCCCGTACAGGCTCTAGAGTCAGACTGGATGGACTGGTACCGGCCTAGACCTAGCCTACCGCTACTGGGCCTCTAAAAATGCCAACTTTGTCTTCTTCTGCTCGGCCTCGAGTACCCGGCACATCTACTGCTACTGGGTGCGGTACCGGCCTACCTGCTACTTGAGTGTTTTTCCGCTGCTCTAAGTGTCGCGGGCCTCTGGCTCCGCCACTTGAGTGTTTTCCCCTGCTGCAACCCTCAATGCCACAGCCACAGGTAAGTACCGGCCCTACGGGCCTGCCAAACAAGCAAGTACCCTTGCGGGTCACACACACACTCATGCCGACAAGCACTCAGACAGGCACGCAAGTCAACAGGCACGGACACATACAGACTTAGAAAACACAGCAGAATGCGGGAATCCCAGCAAGGCATCCATTCTATGGACAGAACTTCAGAAGTCAGCAGTGTTCTCAGTCTGTGTTATGGCGGGTCGTTACAGCTTTAGGGGTTAAGAGTCCAAAAGGAGGAGAACGAATGTGGCCACCCTCGACATCAAACAGACAAGGAATGAGGAGGGGAGTAGTTAGTGTCTCACTGAATACTCCTGGCGGTCTGTAGACAGACTGAAGAGGTGATCCCCTCCGCATGCTTCAACTGGTCCCTGTTTTTCAATGTACAATTATATAAAGGGGCGCTGGGCCCGTTTCTCAGCAGGTGGACCTCCCCACCAATAGATGGAGCTTCCTTAGAGGTCGCTTGATGTGTCTGCTCATACCAGCACCTCAAGCTAATCCCTGGGTTGTTTGGTTAATATATATCTATATATATATATAGAGTAACTTCGGCGCAGTCACGAAAATAGTTTGAAAATGCACTTCAGGCAATCCCGCGAACACAACACCCCCCCACGTGACCCCACCTGTCCCGAATCCTTGGTTATATACATTCACCATTACCAGCCCTTTTGCCTCAAGTGCATTTTCAAACTCGAACCCTGACTGCGCCATAGTCTTCTCTCTCTCTCTCTCTATATATATCCTTAACACTCCTTAAGTGAATAGCGGGTCTCGCGTAACGCTCCCGCGAGATCCCGCTTTCCGCTGTCGGGAAACATGATGGGACCGGTAGGCGGGCCCGACGAGCAATGCGTGAGGCTCTCGGGGCGGCGCGGGCCGGGGGCGGGTAGGTCGGTCCGATAGAGGTTTCGGGGATTCGTGCCAGACGGTTCCCGAAACTTCTATCGGGCCATCCGGTCCACGGCCGGTCGACAATCTTGACGGTTGTCGCCGGTCCGGGTTTTTAGCGTCGTATCCATGCGACGGTTTCGATAGTTTTGTCTTCGCTGTGCCGGTTGGTGCGCTCGGTTCGGTGGTTTTGAAGCTCGCTGTGCTGGTTGCTGCGCTCGGTTCGACGGGAGAGAGAGAGAGAG